GGTCCGTCCATGGCTGTGCGCGTCACGCGACGGTGGGAACCACCGGTACGCCGTTGCACGAGCGTATGACCTACTTAATATTATTGTGTAGACACTTACCGATTTCCGATGAGCATGGTAAGCATTTTGATATTATTGAATTACTGAAAGAAAAAAAAAACAACACGAATGGGCGACACTCGAAAGCGAGAACATACGTGTTGCTCGTTCAGCAAACAAATCGCAACTACAGTAAAAATTGATTAAATAATATTATTATGATCAGAAATATAATAAAAAATATATAATATTAAAAAATATAAAAATATAAAAATATATAATATTTAATGTTATACCTATGGCTCGCGGCCCATGGGTTGGGAACCGTTGTTCTAGTACATGGAAAATAATACCTACCTAAATATGTAAATATAAAATAATACGAGCGTAATCCATAAACGAAATATTAAACACATAAACGTAAATGCGGATAAATAAAATAAAATAAAATAAAATAAATAATAACTATAACCATCATTATAAAGGAACATCTCGTAACGTATAATGCAAGATAAAATATATAAAGTGGAAGTACGCGCAGCGCGTTAGAACACGTTTAGGAAATATGAAATGAAATATCATATAATACGTATATTATCACTAGGGCTCGGATTTTGTAGCAAAATAAATCTTTTTTTTTTTTTATTATTAAAAGGAAACTTTGTTTACTATTAGTTTCGACAAATGATATATTGGTAATGATTGATAATGATATATGATATATACCTCGGCATTACAATCGACAGTTTCATGCTTTTCAATGCCCATATAGCTAAGACGGCAGATAAAGCAGAGAGAATATGCCGAGCATAGGTGACCCGAAAGAGTCCAGGAGGCGCCTACAACCGCTGTAATCCACTTCATGCTGCTTTATGGGGTACCCACTTCGGCGCACACGCTCAAGTATGTGCCAAATAACGGTAGGCTGCTTAATAGATCGCAGAGGAAAGTTCTGCGCTGCAACTGTGCGTACTGCACATAGCTATAAATGTGGTAGTAGCAACCCCTCCCTCAGACTTCTTGGCATAGAGAGAGAGCTGGTCTTCGCGAGAAGGCGTCGGCCCGCACGCATATATACTATTTACATAAATGTAGATTTATATTTATATTTATGTTATAATAAACCAGTAATTTGCGCACGTTGTTCACGTCGATATTTTATCTGTCGATTATGTATCATATATATTTATTGACGAGTTTACAACACATTTCAAAATTATTCTTATAAAAAAATTTTTATTTTACATACATTATACAAATGTCACGTAATAAGACTCAAACAAATGTTCTATCTGACGAACAGTTGTTGAAAATATTGGATGAATCGGAAAATGAGAATTCTTTGAGTGAATTGAAAACAGAAAGCTCTGAAGATAATTCAAAAATTTCATCAGAAGTCGATGTACCGGTAAATATTAAAAATAATAGACCAGTAGTTATAGAGGATAAATGGCTCAATTGCTCAAAAAAAATCCAACCAATTATATTTTCTCCTTGACAATCCATTCATAGCCTCCGCAAACCTTCAAACTCACCTAGACCTTATGGAGAATTGGTATACCAAATGGAGATTTAAATTAAACCATAGCAAGTCTATACACACCACCTTTACGCTTAGACCAGCTCTTACCTCTGAGGTAACTCTTACTGGATACAGCTATGGGGAAGTGCAAAAAAGACAAATTTAAATAAAATTCAATGGATGCTCCCCCATACATATCTAACCATACTCTACATACAGACCTAAAATTAAAAACTATCCACGAGGAAACCAAACACTTTTACAAAAGATTCCACAACCGTCTTTCCTCCCACTCAAATCCTTTAATTAAAAACCTTTCCTCCCTCTCAATCCCCGGCAGTCCTCCTAGACGTTTAAAACGCAAATGGCATAGAGACCTGTTACAAATTTCAATATAGAAATAAAAAAAAAAAAAATTAATTAAAAAAACTAATTAAATATTATATAATTCATTTACATTTCTATATAACTATCAACCTTAAAGTGTCATCATTGGGTGGTTTCTTTACTTAATTTTTGTATTTTGTATACTCATGTTATCTGTACCTTATCATATATGCTTATTATATTATCTGATATAGAGTATATATTTCGACTCAAAATAAAAAAAAAAAAATATATTAAGAAAAAAAAAAAAAAAAGGTTATAAGGAAAAACCTCTTTTATGTTTAGAACCATGTCTTAAAAAGTACCATATGTAATATCATTATATTTTATTGTTTAATTATATTTTTAAATAGTATTATTTTTTATTGTAAATTTTCACTATTTTTGTGTAAAAAAGATGATTTTAAGTATAAGAAATAACATAATAAAATATTGTGTTGCCATGTCGTGACAGTTAAATAATTTTGAAGTAATTATAAAATATAAATATTAGGTAATAAGTAATTATTAAAAAATAAAAAAATAACATTAATACATTGTTAATCCGCGGTAAATACTAAACATTTTTAAATATTGCGAGTCTTCTTAATATTTTTGTTTTATTCTTGCCAATCATGTTTTAATTTATTTATTTTATTTCATGAAACATTTTGATTCAAAAATATCATAATGCTATTGTTTTTATTATCTATGATGTGTGGTAATAATCAGTCATAATTATGACTATTGAGTACGGAAAACAAGCCTAGTGTTACAACTTGTGAAAAAACAGACAATTCTATATTTTGTGCCAAATTTAACTTAGTTAATTAAACACTACGGACGGTATCGGTGGCGCCTCCGATGAATTAATTCAATTTGCACCGATGTACCATCCGCAGCTAGGTGAGTGTTTTAACCAAGTTTCAGCTTTCTTGAAAGCCTTGCTGAAGGCTAGATCTTCTTCTCAGTGTAGTCTCGCTCCACTTTTGTTAGTGGTCTTCTAGGTTTCTAGCCGTGGGCTTTTCACAGCGGGGGCCCTCTCCTTAGCCTTTTCCACATACATATTCCCTGGTGGACATAATTTTTTCCACGCAATCGGATATCCTTAACCAGTTTTTCCTAGAGTTCAGAAGTTCAGTATAATCTGAACCGTGTTGTCTGCTGTAAGATTAAGTCCCAAGTAGGTATTAGTTTCGTGTCTCAAAGTGAATCATGCGTTTCATTCAAAGACAGCGTGCTCAGCTGTATCCGGGCTTGTTCCACATAATTTTCTCCTCGTGTGGCCTGACCTTGTAGCTCACCATACTCACTGTCAGGCATCCATCTCCTACAAGCTTTCGTACAACTTTCAGCGGAGCCGAGACTATGGCCACTTGCGTGCTGCCCAGAACCTAAACTTTTTATTTCAGGTTTAATCGCTAACTAGAGAGGGAACTACTTTCACAATTTTCCCCTCCAGCCGCATCTTTTATTCAATGTAAAAATAAATATTATTAAAAGAAAAAATCCCGTTTTTGCCTGTAACGACGTGGGCTCACACAATTTTTTAACACCTGGGCACAAGTTATATTACAAATTTCCAATTTTCAATAAGTAGCTCGCCGCTCTTCAATCTGTCTCGTTTGTTCCAGTTCCTCCTTTTCCATCTCTCTCTTCACAAATTTCACAAACTGGTCAATCATGTACTGCACGACTATTAATAGACTTCCGCGAGATGCTTCAGGCAGTTTTTCACAGACCGGTTCACACACCAGTTCCGTCAGGTTCTGGATTGACAGCTGCCTCCTATCGATTGCTTGTTCCAGCGCATCTTCTCCTGGTCCCAGAATACACACTCTAGGAGAGTGTGGTATCTATCACGTATCTACAGAGCAGATATTTGGAGCCCCGGGCCTTGTCCATCTGATGCTGGTACTCCTAGATGCACCCGTGGCCAGTCATCGCCGGCGCAACCACATAAAGAGGTCCGAGATGATTTTCCTAGTTCAGCTGGCCTTCTCCATAGCCCGCCATCTCTCGTTCCATACTTCGACAGTCTGCCGCCGTTCCGCTATCCAGATGTCCCGCTTCTGAATTTGAGGAATGTTCTACGACAGCTCACAGCTATCCGACCCCGTTCCAAGGCAACGAGATCGATCGGTGGCCACTCCGTGAGCACGCTTATAGTGATATCCGATACTATTCTGTATGAAGATGCTATCCGCAGAGCCACTTGCCTTTGCTGCCTTACTAAGGCATTGAGGTTCTTCGCAAACATCATTACTCTGCTCGCCCAGATGGAAGCCACGTAGAGGGCCTTGCTCTAGACAACGGACACCAATAGCCTCCGCTAACTGCCGCAAAGCCTTCCCTAACGTTAGGCATAAGCCTGGCGATAGCCCTCGCCGTACTTTCTGCCGCTTTAATCGCCTGGCCTACATGTTGAGTGAACTCCAGCCTCCTGTTCAGTGTAACGCCGAGGTAGCGGAGGGAGTCCCAGATCGTTATATTTTGGCCTCTTATCCGAAGCCATGACACACCATAGGCCCACTTTCCCGTTAGGATGACGGTCTCCGTTTTTTGCACAGCTAGCTCGAGCCTATTCAAACCTAACATAACCTGGGTTCAGCACCTGCTTCAATAGCATACCGGTATCATATATTGTCGCATGGACTTATTAATTTATAGTTTACAAACTTAAACACGTGAAGAACAGAATCCGTATGCTAGTCTATATGCAATAAGCATGAATAACAGTAGGCCGTTTGAAAAAGTAATAAGTAGTTCACTAACGGGCTACCCCATTGCAAAAAGCCTAATTCTCCATCTGGTCTACGACGTACGAGGTCTGTCCCAAAAGTTTCCGACCTCTGTCCGTTATTCCGCGCTCGTCTTATTATCTTCGTCCGGCTCGTGGAATCCTTTGAAGTAGTTTCCATTCGACTAGAGAATACGCTCTCAATGTGCTTCCATACCTCGAAGCAGTTCTGGAAGTCCACCTTTGCAATAGCCTTTAGTGAACTTGTCGCATTTGTCCGTGTCATCAAATCGACGTTCTTTAAGTGGAATTTTTAACTTTGGGAATAGCCAAAAGTCGCAGGGGGCTATGTCAGAACTATACGGAGGTTGGCGAAGTTGTATTTTTTTATGTTTTACCAAATATAATCGTACTAGGTTTAATAAATGCGCTGGTGCCTTATCGTGGTATCGTGCATTTTCTATTAAATACTTTTAAGTAAGATTTCTAGACTTGTAGTAGAAAAAGTGTTCACAAGATAAAAAGAAAAATTTAAATAATTGAACATTGTAAAACTATCAATGCTATCAAACTATCAGCTTATCAAATTATCATTCTGTATATCACAATTAATTTAAATAAGTTGTAATAGTTGTATAAAGTTTTAAACCAAAGTAATATATAGCGAAAAAGTCATAAAACGTTTTAAATCAAAATAACGTAAAAGGAAATTTTTTTTCAATTTTCACGCCCAGGGGGTCATGTGGTGACCTCTTGGACATAACATACTTTTGTTGGCTGTGGACCATTGGTGACGTGGCTGATGGAATTGGTTGTTGCATTGATCGAGAAGTTTCCTCAGAGACTATTGTTCTCATTATGCTGGTCAGTTGGAACAAATGGATAGCAATGAAAGCATACGTTTTACTAGTGTTAGGCACTAAAGAAGAGGAAGAGAAGCAGACACTTAAAGGGACTGCCATAGTATGCCGCTCAAGGCATTGGAGTATAGGATAGAGAGCCTCAGGCTCTGACGAAGAAGGCGATGAGCAGCGCAGTTGTGCTAAAACCCGGTTATTTGGAAATATGTACTACATTGTAAGTATATTTGTAAATTAAATTGTAAATTATTTGTTGTTATATAAATAAACGATAGTCAGGAGGGAAAGCAGAACACTAGTAGTTATCTCCCTGGCCGACAAAATAAAATATCCATAGCGGAGTTCAGGATTGGTTACCCGCCTGATACACCAGGACTGGCCGTAGACGCTTACATGGTGCAAACATATATAAATAAACACTTTGCGATATTATATGTATCCAGAAAACACATAAAGGCATCGATTGGAATAAACCAAAAATCCGTGGGATGAAATTGGTAGCTGAAATACCATATTATAAACATGGAAGCGCTATTTTCACTAAACCTATGATGGAAAAAAAGTCATCAGATGTAACAAATTTTGAAGGAAAAGAAATTTTAACGATAGAATTAGCTAAGTGCACAGTTACATTAGTATACAAACCACCAAATGTTCTATTTAGTTTCCACAACCCTAATAATTTTAACAATTCAAGAACAAAAATAATAATCGGCAATAGCCATCACACAGGATGGGGATATGAAAATACAAATGATGATAGAGAACGGGTTGAACGATGGGCAGATGGTAACCAAATGTCGATCATACATCCAAGCTGCCTCCATCTTTTAATAGTGCAAGGTGGAAAAGGGGGTATAACCCATATTTGATTATGGTCAGTGAAAATATAAGACAGTATTTCAAGACAGTAGCAAAATCAATCCCACGCCCCCAACATCGTCCAATTATTTGTTTAATAATTGCCGCCATTAAACCCACTATAGTGCCAATGAAAAGAATGTTTAATTTCAGAAAGACTAATTGAAATGATTTTAGAACAGATCTGGACTCGGAGATCACAAACCTTGCACCAACCACGGAAAATTACGAGGCTTTTGTGAATATAGTTAAAAGAGTATCGAGAAATCATATCTCAAGGGGCTGCAGAACAGAATATACAACGGGCCTATCCTCAGAGCTAATAGAACACATGCATACATACATCGAAATGTATGAGAAGGACCCTTGTGGATATGAAATCATAAATAAAGGTGAATTTTTGCTAGAAGCAATAAGTACAAAAAAGAGAGCAAATTGGATAAATTTAGTAGAAAGCATAGATATGAAACACAGTAGCCAAAAGGCATGGGGCTTAATGAAGAAACTAAATAACGATCCAAAACAAAAGAACTCACAAAACATAAACACACCAGATCAAAATGCGCACCAACTTCTCTTAAACGGAAAAAGTCAGAGGGAAATAAAACACAAGTGAATCCAGAAAAAAACACACGACTGAAAATGAAGAATATGGACACTTCAAAGAGCAGTTCAACATAGAAGAACCAAACGAAGCCATAAGGATGCTTAAAAATAGGAAAGCCGCTGGATTGAACGAGATATGTGTAGAACGAATTAAAGAATTCGGTCCTAAGACCAAACCATGGATACAAAAGCCATTTAATGAAATCAGATCTACCTACAAACTACCCAAAATTTGGAGAAAAGCTCACATAATAGCCCTTTTAAAACCAAGTAAAGATCCAATAAGTTCAAAAAATTTCCGGCCAGTATCACTTCTATGCCACTTATACAAAGCCTTTGAAAGAATGGTTCACAATCGCATAGTTGGACATATTGACGAAAAATTGATACAAGAACAAGTAGGCATCAGGAAAGGTAAATCATGCATAGGGCAAATACTAAATATGACCCAGTTTATCGAAAATGGGTTTGAAATGAAAAAAAAAACAAGAGTAGCCCTTTTAGACCTGACAGCAGCCTATGATATGGTTAGCCATAGGATTTTATTAGATAAAATCTTCAACTTAACTAAAGACAAAAGTTTTATGCAGATAATAAAGGCACTACTCCAACATAGAAGATTTTACGTAACTCTAAGAAACAACAAAAGTAGATAGAAAAGTCAAAAAAATGGTCTTCCACAAGGTAATTTGTAGGCCCCTATCCTATTCAATATCTATACGAACAATCAACTGATCACTTCAGGCGCCAGGCATTTCATCTACGCGGATAACACAGCGATAGCAGTTCAAGATAACAACTTTGAAGGGGGAGAAACTAAACTAGAGGCCTCATTTAAAACTATGTCAATATTTTATCAGAACATGAAGCTGAAACCTAATCCAACGAAAGCTCAAATATGTGCGTTCCACCTAAAGAATAGACTAGCGTCTAGAAAGCTAGACACCATTAAGCAAATATTCCCGTTGAAATTTTTTTAAATTCATTGAAATTGAAATTTTATACGTAAGAATAAAATTTAAAAATACATTAAATAAATTAAAAAAAGATATCCTAGGATAATGAGGACAGCTGCAGCCACTTCAATAGGTAATTTAATTTTTAACGATTTTTTTTTCCCCGTGAGATTTGTTTACATGGAAATTTCACCGTAATATTATATTATAAATAGAAAAGTGCATACAATAAAATGGTCGAGTTCAATAATTACGCTTATTATTTTGAATTTCATAGGCCTCTTAATTTTTGATATTTTTAATTCAAACACTGATTATAGATTCTCATTGGTTTGATGTAAATATTCTTTGTAGAGAGAATTCATATTTCACCGAAATCCATTACTGTCCACGGTGATCCTGGTCCTGAGCATCCTCAAATATCACATTATCATCGTTGTCTGTGTCTTCGTTGTCAATGTCGGCAGTTTCTATGAGATTAGTAATCGCGGACACGTTAGATACTCCGTCTACCCCTCGGTCGCTCTCGTTGTCTGACCGGCCTGTCGTCCTCATCTCAGAGTCCACCCGGCCTTCCTCCGAAAGTTTGTCCCTGTCAGAAGGCATGTAGTACGCAACGTTGGGTAGATTTTTGATAACACATGCCGCCAGTGCTGACCTGAATATTTGCATGCTTTTGGCTTCAAACCTTTATACGGTATCAAACAGAACATTTTATGATAGTTAATACTATGGCTATTTTAGAATTACACATAAAACATTAAAGAGAGAAATAATTAATGTCATTGAATTTCGAAAAAAAAAAAATCATGTGTAAGTATTATGACAACTTCTAAAAGATGTTGTTCTTTGCTCGTAAAATCATGTTGCTTTCAAAATGTGTATACCAACTGTATTCTGTAACTCGGTAAGAAGCTCTATATATTTTATATTATCGAATATTTTGATTCGTTATGCTCTAGATCAGGGGTTCAAATGAGTTACAGACCGTATTAAATAGCCATAACGAATACATACGCAATTTCAAATACAATTTAGAAAGCAAATCTTTCTCGGACAACTTAAAATTAATAATTCACGACAATCGCACACCACAAAATCAACATAGAGGAAGATACAACTTCCCTACAACAAACAAAGTTGCCGCTCCGTTAATAGATGAAGACAAAGGACCCAGAGATATATACCGCATTGTAAACATAGCCAGCTACAAAGAGTGTCCGAATTGTATTGCGCTTACGGTACCCTGCAGTATCCTTGTTTGTTTATATTTTTTTTTATCTATGTTTATGAAAGGAGAAGATTCAGAAGGTTCAGCACAAAACAAAACATTTTTCGGTATGTAATTCTATGCATACAGTCTAATGGTCAAAGATAACCGTTTCAATAATTTACATTATTACCGAGATTTATTCAGTCAATACTGCGTTGACATGATGGCTAAAATGATATCGGAAAAATTGAATTTTATATCCTGAAACCGACAAAAGTTAAGAACTGACGATTATATACATTTAAGAGATGATTTAAATAGGAATGGTCATGCAAATGCTGCAAATATTGGTCAACACGTTATCTTGCTCTCTTCTTTCATGGGCTCGGCGAGATAAATGCACAAAAAAACGCAAGACGCTATGGCATACGTGCGAAATTACGAAATGTCTGACTTATTAGTTACCTTTACTTGCAACTCCGATTGGGTCAAATAGAGCAAGAAAATTTTTCAGGACAACGATCTTTCGACTAACATGATATTATAGCATTTACATGTCTTTCATTTAAAAATGAAGAAACTTTTTAAACTATTTACAAAATAAGACATTTTCGGAAAAGCCAAATATCATATAGCCAGTGTCGAGTGGCAAAAACGGGGTTTACATACTACCACATGTTGTTTTAGCTAGAAAATAAAATACAACCTGACGAAATTAACAAAATTAACAAATAATTCATTGAATTTGATCACTTTCTTTCGGGAAAATTTGCTAATCTGAGTGTCTAAATTACGCGTCATCGTGTAGCGAAGACTTTAGAATTATCGCCATAATAAATTAAAATAAATAAATACATTTGATTGTATTTTTTAATTAACTCATAAAAATGTATCTGACCCGGGCTCGGTCTCCAAATACACATGTATTAAAATCACAATACAGTCTTTTTTTCCGGGGAAAAATTAACAAAAATGTGAATCACTTCAAAAACATATTATAACAAATTAAACAATTTCTAAAAAAAAAAAAAAACAATAGATTATAATCTACTACCTCTTTATGTACGCACAATGTAAACGTAACTTTGGACTTAAATTTTAATAAATAGCATAAAGTAAAAAGTAATTTTACTAAATTAGTCATCAGATATTTACTGATTATTCCGACTTGGATACAATAATATACACGATAGTAAAATTAAAATTATAAAATATATTTGTATACATCACGTTCTATAATTGCATAATCGGTTGTTTTTTCTGTGGGAAAATTGCCGTTAACATTTAGTTTCTTACGATTTCTTATTTGTGGTGATATTATACAGAGTAATCGATCTATCGTAAGACACTCATTATTTCGGAAAATATTAACTTTTTTTAGAATTTGTTTTACGCTTATGTTATTTTCAAAAAATGGCAAAGATAAAATTGTAGAGCTGTTTGTTTCTTGAATTTCCTATAAAACAAACTCCAAAAAAAGTTAATTTTTTCTGAGTAAATGTCATACGATAGATTGATCACCCTGTATATTGTAAGTGTAGACTATTTTTGCAAAAATCATATCGGTGATATATGTGGAGGCCATAGTTGATTTATTTTAGAAATGTTGATATTAATCATCGCTTATTGAATTAACCGTTAATATTCAATGCACAGTATTGAAATACAAAATAGAGCCGAGAACAAATAAAAAAATATTTAAACAAATCTACTAACCATTCGTCCGTACGGTCGTTGTAACATTCCACTTGGGCTATAGTGGTCACGCCATTGAAACCGCCGGCCACGAATATCATGTCGTCCAGTACTTCAATAGCGAAGTTACTCCTCGGGCTACCCATTTCTACTACCGGCGACCAGCGGTTCGTAGTCGGGTCGAATTTCTCACCAGTATTCATCCTAAAAAGCCCATTGAAGCCACCCATCACATACAGACAGTTGTGGTACGCTATGCACGACACGCCACTCCTCCTTGTTTGCATCGGTGTTACTATTGTCCAAACGTTCGCTTCCGCGTCGTAACATTCAACTGTGTTCATGCACTCTTGCCCATTGAACCCCCCGGTTATATATATTTTGTCTGTGGAGTTACACATACAGTATAATGTTGTATATAATATAAATATCTATAAATAATAATATTATTGTCTTTTGCTAGTTTCCATATATTTTTTTCATCTCGTTTTTCTTCAATCGTCCGACCTTTGTATGGTAAGAACTCAGCGCTCAGTAATAATTTATACTACATTACCTAATTCCGAACGTTGTGACAGAGAGGGCACTGTAGTCACTATAGGAATACACTCCCCAGATGGCAAAAAATATAAAAAAAAAAATTAAAATCGGGACCACGTCATGATATAGCTTTTCCTTGCCCGATATATCGGGTAAGTCATATTTATAAAGTTGATAATCGTGTCTATCACGTTCCAGGGTCACCAATTCATTGACATTAAATTCGAATACTGATTGATACTGACTTCCAATTTTAATATTTGTTATTTTAAAATCTGAGCAAATGGTTTGTGATTGTATGAATAATTTTTTTATCTGTAAAAAATGTTCTACCAGACATCTTGTTTCGATAAAAAAAACGAATTGGGACACTTTTTGATGCATTTTAGATTAAGTTAGGGCATTGAGGTCATTTTTTGATTTTTAAAACAGTTGTTTTTAATAACGGAAAAACCAGGAAACGGACAAATATGTATTCGATCGGCCGCATTGTGTGTTTGTATGTACATGTGTATTTGTAGCTCAGTCAGAGTGGTTTGATTCACCGCGCAAAACTGACAGTCTAAATGATGGCGGTGGATATGTGTGTGTGTGTATATATGTAAAAGTGTGACTTATATATTAAAGAACAATAGTAACTAGATAAATGGTAGCTCAAAATGCGGTGATGACTAACTAAAGGTATATTGCCGTACAAATAAATAAATCAATACAAAATCGTAATTAGCCCTTTTGGCTCGACAAAGTATAACGACGAATATATAAAGATTGTGAATCGTAGTGATTAGTGCACAAGTAAAATAATAATAATAATAATAATAATAAACCTCAGATAATTGTCAGTGCACTTTTGGCCAGCTGCTACTAGAGCGTATGTAACCCGAACCCCCCCCCCATATTTGAATATTCCCATTTTTTTACGCCAATAATTAATACTCAATTCTTGTGAATTCCTGTCCATATTTTTATAATTCCTATTCCACTAGTTTTCTCGGAAAGTCAAATTTTCCAGGGGTTCGTTTTTTTATACCTACCCTAATTTCAATAATTTCACTTTTTTTTCATCTGCAGAATCATTTCATGGTTTTTTCTTGGAAACATATACATAAATACATATAAAGTTGGCCATTTATTCTATAGATTGCTACAGTTTAAGTACCTAGGAGTCCTACTGACCCATGATAATGAGTTAAAAACAGAGATATAAAGACGAATCCAAATGGCTAATAATTGTTATTTTGGCATTGGACCTCTTATAAGATCCAGAGCCATTTCATAAAACCAGAAGGTTAGGATTTATATAACATTTATACGGCCTATCATTTTATATGGATCTAAAACATGGGTTCTAAGAAAGACGGACGAACTGAGAAGACTTGAGGTTTTCGAAAGAAAATATCTGAGGCGTATATTTGTAGAAAATGTTCATTATGTATTGTAGGTAAACAATAATACAATATATAAATTATAGATTAGCAACTAATTCATCAAATATTTTATTGTTTAACATCATAACTGTTAATTAAGAAACAAGAATCTCTTTAATCATTGAACTGTTGTTTTAGCTTATTTCTATAATAATAATATACAATAATATTTACAAATTAATTTTAAGAATATTATACAATTTTCAACTTAAGATTTATATTCCCGTTAAAAGTTTAATTTTTTTTATTAAATATTTTCAGGAAATTCTCCAAAAGCTTGTGTAAATCGATGTTCCATATGTAAATAAACTTTTAAATAGCTTTTCAATGTGTTTAACTCATAAACCAAGAACAGAAAATTAGCGTACGGGGTGTGGCTATTAAAGAACGAGACTGCTCGCCTAGAGGGTGCCCTAGATGGGTAATAAAAAAAACGAAAAATGTGTTGGGTATCTAGATATCTTATCTATGCACGTACCAAAACACGTTTTCGTCCCTATTAAAGTATTTGTGCAGTAGTGGTTTGAAACGAACGTGTTTTTTCCTCGTGCCGAAAACCATGTGTGACGAAAAACAGGAGCAACGTATCAATCTCAAATTTCTCGTTAAATTGAAAAAAACTCCGACCGAGTGCTATAAATTGTTGCAAGACGCCTATGGAGGCAATTTTATATCTTGTGCACGTGTTTTTGAGTGGTATAAGCGCTTCAGTGAAGGCTGAGAGAGCACTGAAGATGACCAGTGCCCAGGTCGCCCTGTCACTGTTTCAACTCCGGAAACAGTGACCAAAATCAACCATATTGTGCGTGCAGATCGTCGAATAAGCATCCGGATGATTGCCGAGGCTGTAAACGCCGATAAAGAAACGATTAGAAAAATTTTACATGAGGAATTACATATGACAAAAGTCTGTGCAAAGTTGATGCCAAAAAACCTGACTCCTGACCAAAAGTTCTTGCGTCAACAGGTCTGCTCAGATTTCCTTGAAAAGTTAAAAGAAGATCCCGGACTGATGCAAAAACATTATAACTTGCGACGAAACATGGATTTTTCAATACGATGTTGAAACAAAGCGACAATCGATGCATTGGAAGACACCTGAATCGCCCAGAATCAAAAAAGCAAGGATGTCCAAATCAAAATTTAAGGCAATGTTGATCGTTTTTTTTGACATTAACGGTATCGTGATGACTGAATGGGTTCCAGAGGGTCAGACTGTCAACCAGATTTACTATTTATCAGTTTTGGCAACACTGCGAGAAAGAGTTCGTAAGAAACGNTTGTGGAAGAACAACTCGTGGATTTTGCACCAGGACAACGCACCTGCCCATAACGCGCTATCTGTGAAGCAGTATTTGGCCGGTAAGCGCACTCCAGTGCTCGAACACGCACCGTACTCGCCAGATTTGGCACTGTGCGACTTTTTTTTGTTTCCAAAGATAAAATCTGCTTTGAAAGGGACCCGATTTGAGTAGATGGAAGCGGTAAAGCAAAAAACGGCAGAGCTCCTAAAGGCCCTCACCAAAGAAGACTTCCAGCACTGCTTTGATCAATGGAAAAAACGTATGGAAAGGTGTGTGGCGAGGGGAGGGGAGTATATTGAAGGGGAGCATTTGAATGTAGAATAATTATTATAATAAAATACTTTTTCGTAACCAGTCTTGTTATTTAATAGCCACACCTCGTATATGTATTGTTTGTTCTTTATTAGAAACGGATATCATTAATTGTGAAAATAAAGCTTAAGAAAAATGGAATCGAAAAATTAAAAGCAGTGGAAAATTAATTGCTATATAACTTCAAATCCACATTTAAGATATTTGACCCTGAGCAACTCAAATAGTAAGAAAACATTACCAGTATTAAAAAATTGATCAAGGTGTGAAGAACTGAAAGGATGTAAAACAAATTCATTTCGAGGAGAGTTATATTTAATAACACGTGTGCATTTGATTTATTAACATCACTTATTATGGTATGTAATTTTATACTTAATCTTAAATAATAAACATTTTTATCGTGCAAAATTATTTATGTGTTATTAAATTATAATTTATAATAATTATTAATACTGTACGGGTGACTTCAGGTACAATTATAAAAACATAAGTATATAATATGTACAATAATATATTGATTATATAGAAGTTATTCAAATAAAACTATAATACATAGGCTGTCCGATAAATAAGGTACAGAAATATACTGAATGATGAAAAATTAATTTATTACTATACAATTTTTATACTCATCTTCAAGACTTTTTCAACCCCGATTAAATTTTGTACACCAAACCGATACACTTTTTCGAAACGTAACGTGCGGGCCATAAACTTCAGTTAATTTTCTATAAATTTAAATCAGAGAAACATTTTGAGAATTAAAAATCGAATGATTGCACTAACTTCTTCTTTTGTGCAACTTAAATATTGGTTTTCCATGTTTATATTTACGTAGCTGACGGAACACAACCATAATAGTCAATGGAGATGTTTTAAAGTTTTTTTCAGCAAAAAACATTTCTGATTTTTCATTGTATAAACATATTATGGAACAAAAATTTATGCATTTTACATTAAAAATTAATGTAGATGATAATTTATCCAAATTACAAAATTTTTTGGATGAGTGGTATATTTTGTGTGTATCTCTACTAGAGACAGTCATTACTGGAGTTTAAGAAATGCATTTAGTCATAATGTTCTTTTTTGGGAAGGTAATATACATTTGTATAACTGTTTACTATGAATGAAATGCATATTACATAATTGTATTATTTATTTATTATAATATTTAAATAGATGAAGATGCTGTTCCCAGCTTACGCAGTAAGGAGGGAAGCAGGCAGCAACCATTTTTAAAATAAAGCTGTGTGATATCTAATAAAAACTAATAAAAAGAAAATTCACAGTACTAAGAGGAGTTTTTGCTTTTCAACAACTAAAATGTTCATTAAGAAATTCTAGAAGGATCTAGAAATTGGGAACTGTACGATGACCTCAAAAAAATTTCTGTTTAAGTGAAAGAACACACGACAGTACCAGTCGAATTTGTTATTTTATTCAATTTAACTTTAACTGTAGATTTTTTAAAAGATATATATAAAATATACACCTACAAATTAATTTTGTTTATAATAATTTTTATTATATGGTGTGGACATCATTTGATTGAAAATTGATATTCCAATCCCTCTATTTAATCACTAAACCGTCGACATGATTTTCGTCCAAATGACCCGCACGATAAGCTTAATACCGTATAAAGTTAGATGTAAAGTATAAATTAATATTTATTGCCTCACATACAAACAATTAGTTTGGTGTACTGATCAGGAACAATATAAAACATTATTAAACTATAAATTGTACATATTG